TCAAAAGAGGATTTCCATGCCATAACTCCCAAACACCTGTCAGATCTCCTCTCCCTTTCCCACTCCAAGGACACAGCTGTACCTCTATGCCCTTGGGGACAGGGCCAAAAGCTTTTGGGAAGAGCCTGTCCACACACTCAGCACAGCCTCACAGAGCATAGCACCCTGGCAAGGTAAAAATTAAGAAAACAGGGTGCTTTAATCTTCTGTAGCTCCTTCAGGAAGGAGCTTGTGCATAAAACATGAAGGCTGAGAGCCTGATCAGGGAAGATTTCAGGAAAAAAAAGTCTTACATGGCTGCCTCATTTTTCCACTTGATTATTTCAGTTCAGCTGCTTAATTCATTGAAAACAGAACCAGGAAACATTTGCCTGAAGCACATCATGTCTGGGCTTTCAATCCCAGCCTGTCTGGGGAGGGGGCTCCTGCTTCCCACCCTCCCAAGCCCTTGAAGCACAGACACCAAACAGCTTACCCAGTGCTGGGCAATGCTCATTTGCAGAGCTAGACCTGCACTCAGACTTCTTGGAATATGCTGTAGGGAGACTCAGCATTACTAGAGATTGCAGCCTAACAGCTAGGGAATTCCAGCCCAAGAGCTTCAGGGCAGGAGTGCTGCTTCCAGCCTTCAGCTGCCAAATTTAAGTAATGCCTTTAACAGCAGCAGTTTTCAGGAGGCAAAAGCAAAGGACCAAACATCTGAGTCAACCTTGCCCCTTTTCACTATTTATCCAGGGCCAAAGAGCAGTTTCCAGACTGCTGCAAGCATCAAGTCTTTGGCTTCTCAAAGGATATAGAAAGCAAGAATGAGGCGATCAGACCAGAAGGATGAAGGAGAGTCCAGAGGCTATTTGTCTCCTTTCTCTCCATTAGTGTCCCCAGTTCCACCTCCTCATCCAGCCACTGCTCCCTGCTCCCCCTACAACAGAAAGCATGTCAACAGAAACATCTTCAGCCCTTTTCCATTCCCAACACCAAGATTTTTCCCCCAGTTCTCCCAGCAGCAGAAGCCATACTCATCCCTAATAGCAACTAAAGCCCCAGAGTTAGAACTGCCCTCCAAGAGATGTTGCAGCCTGGGTGAGGAGGCACTGACTCACACCCAGAAGCCTGTTAGCACATCCTCCTGTATAATCATTGCTAAGGAAAAGCAAACAGGATTTCTGGAGTCAGGAAACCATTTAGCATCTGTTAGTAGCATTAATTCTTCCCTCAGTCACCTGAAACAGGAGCCATACCTTATTTGCTGCCAGTATTTAGGATTCCTTGCCAAGGATACAGACTAAAGAGAGCATCAACATTTGGAAAAGGCTGCAGAGAGGCACCTTCCACTTCCAACAACACACTCCACACCTTCAGTCCCATCACTGGCTCATTGGTGGCTTGTGACCACCCCAGGAGATGCTTACCTGGAGGACAGATTCCCACCCAAGCAGCCCAAAGGCTGTCTGCTGTCCCCTCTCCCCAGTGAGGACACAAGAAGAGGACAGAAACATCTCTATTTATTAGGGATGGAGGTTACAGCGACACTCCATGAGGGCAGTGACACTTCCTGCACACAAGAAACAGTCCAAGAGCCATCAAGCTCAGCAGAGCAGCTGCTGTGAGCATAGCAACTTGGGCCACCATGGGGAGTCCTTCAGCAGCACCTGGAAGAGACAAGAGCCACTTATTACACATCTAATGGTTTCCCACCATCTGTCAGTGGATGAATTTGCAGGCAGCTTTGGGAAGGAGACCCCTAGATTGCCTTTTGGTGGTTATACTAGAAAGTCTTTGTCCAGGTGTGAAATCATGGGGAATTCATGACTAGATCAACCTGAAGTCACCTTCAATTGAAACCTGAAGGCACAATCAAATGAATAAAACCCACACACATACCCTGTGGGGTCTTCCCTGCTGGTGCAAGACCTCCTAAGGAACTCCATAATCTCTGAGCTGAATCAAGGATTAACAGTGGCCCAACTGAGACTTCAGCTTCTGCCAGCCTTGAGAGTTCACCTAGAAAGAGAAGGGTATGACTGAGTTCACAGGGGAGGTAATTCCTGCTTAGTTTGAACTTCAGGAGTTCCAGAAAGGCAGACCCTGCAAGTGCAGCTTTCCAGGAATTTTAACTATAAGGACACACACAGGCACAGTTACTTAGAATAGAATCACAGAATGGCTTAGGTTGAAACGACCTGAAAGCTCATTCCATTCCACCCCCTGCTATGGGCAGGGACACCTTCCACTAGTCCATAAGCCCCATCCACCCTGGCCTGGAACACTTCCAGGGATGGAGCAGCCACAGTTTCTCTGGGTAACTTGTGCCAGTGCCCCACTACCCTCACAGGAAATAATTTCTTCCATGTATCTAACCTAAATTTCCCCTCTGTCACTCTGAAAGTACTTGCCCAAGGACACTGGAGAAGAGCTGGGTTTGTCCTAAGCTAAAAATGTTCCAGCACCTTGATCATGTCAACCTAGAGGGTCACTCAGCCTTGGGGGTACATTTTGGACACCAAGCCCTACCTTGCTTGGAAGAGATGTCTCTCTTCAAGCGCCTCCCTGGCTGTCTGGCTGGGGGGTTAATTCTCCGGGAGTATCCTCCATACAATGGACAATTGCCAGTTTCACAGCAGCTGCAGATGTCTCCAGTACCCTCCACAGGTGCCCAACTGAAACAGAATTACCTGTAAGCCCTCTTTCTCCAGGCTGGTCCCCTCCCCTACATGCACCAGATACTCACAGGCCACTGGCTTTGTTGAAGGAACAGGCTTTGTGCAGTGGATCTGGGGCTTGGTCAGCTGGGATGACCTTCAGGTGGCAGGTGATGTAGATCTGGAAGGGAATTTAACATTAATTAGCCTTGGATGCTGTTTTTTTGCATGCAGCACAGCACACCCAAAACACCCTGAGGAGAGGTTGGCACAACATCTCACCAAGTTCCTGTCATCTCCTGCAAACTTGAATGCATCAACCACAAACTGCAATGTTTCCGGCCTTAGCCTCGGAGAGATGAAGACTGAAGTGGTGTCATCTGATCTCCCATCCACCAAGCACCTAGAGAAGGGTCAGGAGTCAGGGATATCCCAACCAGCTAAGCAGTATCACCCAGAGTGCACAATCCTCCTTACCCGCTGAGGTTGATCAAGGCATATTGGGGAGAGGAGTTCCTATTGGAACTCAGAGTAGCAACACAGTCATCCACAAAGAGCCTCAGAGGCACATGACCCTCAGAAGCCACGTCAGCCTGGAGGTGCAGGCTTTCCCCCAGCAGGAAGCTATTGGAGAGCCTCTCAGTGCTCCAGTCATCTGCAAGGTAGATCCAAGGGTACAAGTCACTTTGGAGAACATTATATTGCCCTCCCTTGTTATTGGGACCTCTTAAACCTGCAGCAACTCCACTGGGATTGATTTTAGCCCAGATTACAGCTCTGTTTGTGCTCTCAGCACATGGCCAAGAGTAGAGACCTGAGGAAAACAAGACTACCAGGGCTGCACTCACCATTCATGAGGCGCAGGGAGAACATCAGTTGCTCCTCTGTAGACAGCGTAGAGTGGAATGGAGCCCACGTGGGCCTCACAGCATTGCTGCTCACATTGCTCTTCCTAAACAGCAGAAATGTGCATTAACAGATATACCACCATCATCTCAGGTCCACAGGAGCAGAAGCACAGCCCACACTTCTCACCTGGGATAGTGACACTCAATAGGAACCACCGCTGGGTTGGTCCTTACAATGACCATGTTGCCAGGAGTAGGTTTGTAGGACAAAATCACTTTGTAGATCAAGGAGTCTGGGGTCATCTGGAAGAAAGGTTTGGGAGACATAAGTCAGCATTAACCAGCAGCTCAACATCACCAGATGCCCTGCACACCCAGACTGTCCTCCATGCTCCTAATCCAGTGTATATAGGACACCATGAAACTCTGTCTTGGCATCCCAACAAGGTGCTTTGAAGGAGGTCAAGGAGCCTCAAGGATTCTGGCACTCCAGCAAGCACCCACACCAGGATCCATATACTCCTGTATCCAGAGGAATTCAATTCAAACCACTACAAGCCTCACTGCTGTTAAATGTGCACCTCATCTATGGTTTGAGGATGGTACCCACACTCCAAAAACTACCTCTGCTATGAGCACACCACCCCTCACTGGAGAACTCCTCCTCACCCCAAACTCTACCACCACCTTTACCAGGTCACTTCCAGGCCTGAGTCCTTTGCTGAGTTGAACCAGGCAGCATGATGCCCTTCAGCATTTAAGCTGTCCACAACAATTCCCAGTTACCCACCCAGGGAAGGTCCATTCCCTCAGCCCAGCATCCCAGCTCACCTGCAGGGTGCTGCCACACTCGTGCAGCCCAGCCACGAAGGTCACTGTGCTCTCAGAGGAGCTCCAGGTCACAGGCAGGCAGGAGGCTGAGCCCAGGGTCAGGTCTGCAGCCCTGACCAGGCGCCCTGTGCCAAAGAGGTCCCTGTGCACCGTCACCACCATCTGTGCCTCCTGGCACTGCACAGCCACAGGGTGCAGGGGGGCTGCAGCCTGGAGCTGGGAAAGATCCACCCATGCCCAAGGCTGGGAGAAGGAAGACCCCCGTGGTCGGCTCCAAGAGGAGTCACCCCGGACCCTCAAGACCCCCGAGTCCCTTTGAGGGAAACCCCGGGGGCTGTAAGACACTGCTTCAGCCAGCACCCAGCAGAACAAAGCAACACCCAGACTGCTTCCAGGCCCCATCTTGACTCCAGAAAAACCAGCTCATGGAGGAGGTGCTGCCCAGGAGCCTTTTATAGCCGAACTCCCAGCAGCCCAGTCCAGATGGGACACACCTGGGGGTTGCTGCCAGGGCCCACCCAGCAAGGAGCAGCTCAGGACAATGGGACTCAGCTGGGCCCACCCCTCTCTCTGGAGCCATGGAGGGCGATTTCCCTAGCCCTGCACCTGGGAATTTCCCTGGAGCAGTTTGTCCCATGTCTTTGCCTGTTTAGAGTGGCATCAGCCACTGCCACCTCAGTGGCCAAGTGGGAACCAGTGCCTTGCACCTCTGTGTCCTTCTGGCTCTATAAGACAGAACCAGCTCTGGTCACCAGCATGGCAAGGGCTCAGCGAGGCTCCCACAAATATTTCTCCCCTGGTCTCCCCCACATCAACACTATCAATTCCCCAAAACACAGGTGGTGCTGGAGCACCACTGGAGGTGGCACATTCCCAACTGGAGAGAAGAGCTGCAAACCCACCTGGGCTGTGGCTCATGCACGTTGGCAATCTGTCCGTACCCGATTTCATGGGGATCTGCGCTGGCTAATTGTCTATGGAGTAATGAAGGCATCATAACCAGCTTATTTGCATAGAAAGCAGAGGTACAAAAGCTGATCTTCCCATAATAGCAGCTGATAAGTGAATGGCAGGCATAATCAAGAGATTAATTGGCCCTCGTGTGTTAATTATGCTAATTGGCACAGCTGCTGGTGTGTACAGTACGATGACTAATGGCTCTACACCACTGAGCTGGATGAAGGGGTTGGGGGGTTGCTCAGAGTTGTTTGCTGTGCTGGCAGATCCTGGGGAGGGTGTCCCCTTGCAGTGGGGGTGATGTCCTGAGCACACCCTCTGTGTGGCTGAGAAGGGTTATTTTACCCTTAATGGTTGTATTCGTGGTGTGTTTCTAAAGGTGCTTTACATGGGTGCCCAGGGAAATAGGGTTTCTTGGCTGCCAGGGTCTGTGGGATGGGTTTGGGATGGGGGGACCTGCACTGTTCACTTGTAGGGGGAATCCCAGCAATGAGCTGGATAAGCAGAGCTCCCACACAGACCATAGCTGTGCAACCAGATTCCTGGTGGGATCCCCTTTGCATTAAGCATTGGCTGTTGTCTCCCTGAAGCATGAATAATGCCATACACACACACACCAACCTCTTCTGGCATGATCTCCATGTCCTGGCCTTGCCCCTGATATTTTTATGAATGATGAATAAATGATATGACAAGAAAAACCTCTCTGGTGGCTCAAGGCCTCTTTATTAATTCAGCAAGCAGTGGGTCATCTCCAAACCCAGCTCAGCCCTCTGCTAGGCTGGAATGTTTAGCCCAGCAAGCTGGGTTTGCTTGGGGGGGCTCCTGCAGCCTAAGGCATCTAGGAGGATGGGAGATGCTGTCCACAACAGCCAGAGGTATCCAGAAGGGTGGGAGGTGTTGTCCATGCTGTCCACAGCAGCCAAAGATATTCAGGAGGATGGGAGATGATGCTCATGTGCCCACAGCACCATTACCCACCCCAACAGCTGCACATGGCACAGGAGGTTCAGGATTTGATCCATCCAACCTCCTGTAAACAACCTCTGTAGGGAACCAGGTCTACATGGATAGGTGTCTGCATTCCACACACCTCTGCTCCTGTTCCAAAGGGAGTGACATAGCTCCTCCAGAAACCCAAAGAGCAACATCCAGACCCAGACCCATGTCTCACACTGTCACAGCCCAAGGTTTCTCTGCTCAAAGGTGGGTTTCTCACACCCTGCAATACCTGCAGCCAAAGACTGGCAGGTCAAAGCACTGGGAGGAAGACAGTGGGAAACAAATTCAGGCATCTGGGATGAAACAGGGCTGGGAGATTCACTGGCCTTAAAACTCTGGAGTATTGGCTCAGACACAGCTTTTATTCTTATTTGGGTGAATCGATAGGCAGCAAAAAAAAACCCCATCCACCACCTCCAGCTCTCGCCACACAGCAAGTGCCACATCCATCACTGTAATCGGCGTTTAATAGCTCTGAGGGAATAGTCCTTTCCCTCTGCAAAGTCCTCTGACTGCAGGTTTCCTCTGGGAATGAAGGACATTGCCCCTGGAAAGGGACTTTGGATAATGGTCTGGAGGGACAGGACAAGGGGAATGTCTTCCTTTGGCTATTGGGAAGAAATTCTTCCCTATAAGGGTGGTGAGGCTCTGGCACAGGTTGCCCAGAGCAGCTGTGCCTGCCTCATCCCTGGAAGTGTTCCAGGCCAGGCTGGATGGGGCTTGGAGCAACCTGGGCTAGAGGAAGGTGTCCCTGCCCGCAGCAGGGGGTGGGACTGGATGATATTTAAGGTCCCTTCCAACCCCTACACACAACTTCACCACCTGAGATGAGAAAAATCATTTCTCCATCAGGCATGGAAAACAACTGTCCTGTCAGCACTTTCCCCCTAGCTGACTCCTTTGTTTATTTCCCAGGGTTTTTCCACTGGAGTGTTAAATACTGTATTAATAGGGGAATTTAATACTTCTCAGGCACTGTTTAAGCAACATCTCTTCACCTGAGATATCACATGCTTCTCTAAGGCTCATTAAAGAGCATCAACTTCTCTTTGCCTCTCTTCCTGCAGCATGCCTGCTTGGATCCTGCTTGGAAAAGCATTGCCAGGGGGGTTTGTCATGGTGAAATGCCACTGCAATGCCATCTGATCACAGAGAGACATTGGAACATCACCCCAGTCCCTCGTCCCTGCACCTTTTTCAGCTGCACAGCCTGGAGACAATCCTGACTGGCAAAGAAGGGAACTGGGGCTTGCAAGTGAAATTGCTCATTAATTTTCCTGGCTGGAGACAATTCCTTAGTGCCAGGTAGGGGTTTTTTAAGCAACATCACCGTTCTGTTTCCAATCTCTCTCCAACAACTCCTGAGTCACGGCGATAAATGCTCCCTGTGCTTGATTTCTGCTTCAGATCCCTTGTAACTGCTGAGGGATGAATTGGGAGAGTTGCTCAGGATAAATCATGCAGGATAGCCAAATCTGTAATTAAAATGTCTCTCAGCCTCTCTGTTAACTCTGACTTCACAAAACTCAGGTGCTGTGTCTGCAGGGAATAACCCACTCAGGATCCAGCTCTGAAAAATGGGTCCTGAGAGGGGAAACTGCCTCTGGAAGTGCTGACTCCATGCAGTTCCCTTGGGAATACCATGGGGCTCTTCTTCCCCCCTGGAAAGGATGTGGAACCAGGACTGATGGCACAACTGGAGAGTTTTTCAATGCTGGTTTTTTTCACCAAAAAGGAGCTTCTGAGTGTGTCACTGCTTTGAGTTGGCTCCAGCTTGCCCACGGAAAGCAAATTCCCTGAGCAGAGCTGGCATGGAGCTGGGTGGTTTCCCCATCCCAGTTGCTGCACTGGGAGGAAATAAAAGGGAAATATAATAAAACATGGCTGTTCCTAACAAATCCTGGATTTTCAGACCAATTTAACTCTTTCATGGATGTTGCTTCCCAAGAAAAGCCACAAGCAGAGGTAGAGAGTGGTCTTTAAGCTTCCTCTGCCTTTGGTTTTGCTTCTTGACTTCAGCAGCTGAGCAGCAGGGAGATCCAGCCCTGGGGCTGTTCCTAGGCTTTGCATTCCCTGGGAAAGGCAGATATTACATTTGCAGTGGCCTTAAAATCAGAAAGCAGCTCAGACAGTTTGCTCTGAGCTTTCTAGCTGAATTCAGGTCTGGCCAGGCAATTTTGAGGCAAAAAACTAGGTATTTGGGGGCACTGTAGGAGCTGGATCCTGCTCATCCTGCTTATCATCTCATGGATACAAGCCCACATAGAAAATGGTGTTTCTTGCAAATCCTTCATCTCTGGAAAACAAAACTGGGCAGGGCAGGGGCACCCATGGATGCTGAGCAGCTCTTGGGTCTGACCCACCCTATGAGGTATGCAAAACATCCCTGTCTGCAGGGTTGTGGCACTATCCATGTTCTTATCCAAGGGGACAACAGAACAGGCAGAGGGATCATCCATCCCATCCCACCTTACAGGGTATCCAGAGCATCCTGCTGTCTGGAGGGACATGGTCCCCTCCAAGCCCCCATCCAAGGGGACAACAGGAATAGGCAGGGGCATCATCCAGCCCATCCCATTCCATCATGCAGCCCATGCAATCCCGAGGGAGGCAGCAGCAAGGCTCAGTATGTCTCTCCTCACCTCGCTCTGGAATTAGGTCAATAGAAGTAGCAGGAAAGCTTTACTTAATATTGCTGGGGAGAATGGAGCTGCCATGGATCAGCGCTGGGAAGAGACTCGCCTGGTGCTTTCCCAAATAATCTGCCAGCTGTGACTCTGGGGTTGTTTTCCATCCATCCAGAGGGTTTGGATGCACTCATATCCCTCGTCTGCTCCCAGGAGGGATGAAGCAAACACAGCTCCAACAGCTGAGCTGCAGCCAGTGCTCACTGCTGGGTCCTCTGCATGCTGCATCCCTGGTAAATCCCACTTTCCCAGATTCCTTTCCCAGGAGTGGGTGAAGAATTTGGGGGCTTTTAGGAATAGGAAAAAACCCCCACAGAACTGCAGCTGACCAGCCTCATCCCTGCCTGGGCCTTATCACAACACCCACAAACCAGCATGGAGAATTACAAGCTTGAAGAAGAGGATAGATCATTTCCTCCCCTCAAACTCCCATTACCTGGACAGCCCCAAAAGCACTTGGGGACAGTATGGACAACTAAGCTCCTCCTGGGGTGCTTTATCCCATGCCAAAGCACAGCACATCCTCCCAGGGAGGGCAGTGAGCACTCAGCCCCAAGTGCAGCTTGGGAGAGCTCATCACCCTGAGCAACCTAAGAAATATTTTCCCTCAGCTTCCACAGCTTAATTATGATTCACCTTCATCACCCTCAAGATCTCCCTTCCCTGTGTGTCTCAAGCTCCATTTTTGCAGAAAACCCCACCTCAAATCTGCTCAAATAAAAGCCCTAGAAAGTTCCCAGCTAGAAGAAGCATTCTCAGGGATGCTGGCACCACCTCAGGACCTTCAATGATGTCCTGAATGTGAGGACAGCTCAGCCCACTTCCTGACAAGGATGAGTTAACCATGGGATGGTTAATGGCTTCATTACCCCAGACCAATGTCTGGGCACTAAATAATATTAATGGCACCTGCTGGCACCTCGTTAAAGATTGTGCTGGCACTTAATTCAGGCTGTACATCAAAGCCACGCTGAAAACACCATCCATCCCCCTCCTCATCAGAGGCTGAACCCAGTACACACCCCCTTGTCTGGCTTTCAGGAATATTTTCCTATTGGGATGCAGATCTTGGCTTCACACCCGAGGGGAAGGACTCATGTCAGGGAAGGACAACTAAAAATAACCTTCCACAGGTGATATAGGGAGGTTCCTTCCCCACAACCTCCACCAGAACCCACTCACATCCCAGCACTGAGAGGAACCAGCCTGAATTCTGGAGTCATCTAGGACAGATGAGTGTCCCTTCAGGATTTTCCTCTTTATTCTGCTGCTTGAGGTATGAAACTAAAGCTGAGGGATGAGGGCAGTTTGCTCCCAGCACTGTGGGATGGATGAGGGCAGCAAAGGACAGAAGTCAGACAGGATTGAAAGGGATACATGAAGGTTTTGCTCTGAGAATTTCAGTCTTGAAACTATTTATGACCAAAGCTGCATCCCAGAGACCACACTGAGCCTGGAAAGCATTAGCCAGAGACCACACAGAACCCAGAAAGCATTGGCCAAAACAACCCCAAATTTATTTGTCAAGGCACAAAAAACCCTTCAGATTCTGGACTTTAAATAATGACTAACACCAGCAGAAGAGCCACAGGGATGTCTCCACCCCCTGGAGTAGGGCCAGGGACACAGCACCTTGCTCACCCTGGCAGCTGGGGTGCCCCCATGCACCCAGCAGTGACAGGAGGATCCCCAGGACATGCACAAGGGCAAAACCCCATGATCCCATGGGGAAAAAAAAGGTGTCCAACCCCATGCACTGGCCAGGTTTGTCCCCAGCAGTGCTTCAGCCGCCAGAGAACTGGCTGTCACCATGGGGAGGACAAGGGGGGCTTCACCTGGCCAGCAGGTTCCCCCCCAAACCCTGCCCTGCCCCAAAATTCCTGGGTTAGTTCAAGGCAGGAGATAACCACCTTGATGGGATTCAGTATTTAAGGCAAAAAAATGAGTCCGGTGGGAATCACAGTGCTGCAATGGGAAATAACTGTCCCCACACATCCCTGGAGCTGTGCATCCATCAGGGCACAAAGCACCAGCTCTGACCCCTCTGTGTCTGGGGGTCCCCTGGGTCCCATCCATCTTCCCAGAGCCTCCAAGGGTGCATCAGTCACTCCCAGGGACCTCACTGAGCCCATTATCACTCTCAAGGCCTCTGGGCTTGGAAAGGGCAGTCAAGTTTGCTCTGGAAGGCAACTGGAAGGCATCTGGCTCAGCTGTAGCCACATGGGAGGAGGCATGGAGCAAGCCCTGAGGGAATGGCTGACCTTGGTTGCTCTCAGCCCTACGTGGGGATGGACAGATGGACAGGAAAGATCCTCCATCCCACACACATCGTCCTCAGGAAGGATGTAGCAGCCTTTGGAGCTCACCAGGGATAAAGAGACACAGCCTCTCTCCAGCCCCAGGGCACCCTGGAGCTGTGGCTGGGAGGGAGGAGGGTGATGGGACCCAGGATGAGGGGTGGCAGCAGGCCTGTGTCCTCCCAAGGGACCCAGAGCTCGTCCCCACTGGGGACATCTCAGCTGGTCCAGAGCTTGGGGATGTCCCAGCTTCCATCAATCAATTTCTTGCTCGTTATCTGGGAAGGGAAAAAAAGACTTAATAAAAATTGACAAACATAATAAAAAGAATCATAACTCACAGGTCTAAATTAATAAATCAGTTCGGTTGCAGCAATTTTGGGCTCTCCTTGCCCAGGAAAACTGGGATCCCCACTCCCAAGGCTGATGCCAGCCTCAAGGAAATACTACCAGGCACATGTAGGTGTGTTTTTATCCCTTCAGCCATCTTCCTGGCTAGAAATTCCCCTGCAGCCAGCAAACCCTGGGAGATGTCATTATTCAAGCTTCATTTCTGCTGCAAAAGTGGTTGAGGAGCAAGTGGGAGATGTCTGGCACATGTTGAGCAAATGAGATGCATTGGGAAGGAAAAGCCAAAGGGTTGGGAAGCTGAGCACAGTCGAATAAAAGAGGAAGGAAGAGTTAAATTGGCAGTGATTCACCAGCGGCAGAGGCCAAGCCTCTGATTTAATAAGAAAGGAAATAAATTAAAAGATTGAGATCTTGGGATGGGAATGAGTTGGGAAGGAGCAGGGTTGACCAGGCATGGAAAGCACTGGAGCCCAGCACTGGGCTGGGCTGGGTGATGGGCTGTTGGCAGCAGTGAGCCAGGAGGCTGGGGGAAGGTAGTGAAAGGCAGAAACAGGAGCTGAGACTCCAGTTTTTATGAGTTTCCACCAGAAATTCATCACCAGGCTGCTGCTGGGGAATTCTGCATGGGAAGGGATGAAGCTCACTGCAAGGGGAGGATCAACCCCATCAACTTCTCTCCTCTTAGCAAACTGATCAAAAACAGATCCAAATCCCTCAGTGATCTGAGTTGGTGGCAGGAAGCTTTTCTCAATCCCAAGGTGCCAAAGCAAAGGAAGGATAAGAGAAAAAAACATCATGTGGAAGCCACTGGCTGCAACACTCCATCGATGCTGGGAGACACAAGCAATGGCCAGAGCAAGCACAGCCCAAACGGGTGCAAATGGGTGCTTGGAAATAACTGACCTGGAAAAATCTGATTGAAAACTGGGAGGAAAATATTAAATATTGAAAATATTGAGGAAAATACGCCCCCAAACCCAACAGATCCTTTAAACTTAGATCTGAATCATCTCCAGTATGTTTAGGATGAAGCCTTCTCCTCAGGTCAGCTCATGGTCCTATGGCACTGCCTGACACACACACTCACCATCTTTGCTCTCGGTTTTCAGTAGCTGCAGAGCTGTGAAATGCAAAACAGCATGTGGTCAGTCTCATCCCCCTTGCAAGGGAATTACCTCCTCAGAGGAAAAAAACTAAAAACCCCATTTTGGGAAACCCATCCCACTAATGACCCCAATTTCCATAGCAAACCAACCCCTAAGGATTCTACTGGCAGCAGAGGAGTCAGCATCCCAAGGGGCTTGCTCCTGTGCCAGATAAAGGCAACCACTGAGCATATCATTAACCTGTTTGATGCTTCTTTATTAAGAGATAGGGTGGTTAATCAAGCAGCTGCCCGGTGAGGGGTGCCAGGAGAATGGGTGAGCATGGGGGGCTGAGCACAGCTGGAGGGACAGTATAGTGCACAAGGGTCATGCACCCACCTGTCTTGGGTTCTGCCCCCTCCTCATCCTGCTCCTCTGTCCCTGCAAAAGAGGAAGCCAGAGTGTGGGATACATGTGCCAGCTGCAGCTCCCACCCTGAACCCACTTTCCTGGATTCTGTGGATGTCCCTTGGATCGCCATCAGTTCCGTGATCATGCACATCCCAGGGTTTGCTTGGGATCAGATGGTGCCAAGCTGCTGGGGATGCTCAGGGAGATGAATAGTACCCACCTGCACTCCACAATGGGTATTTCCCCCAGCCAGACTGGCACATTCCCTACAAGCCAAGCAGGAAAAGCCACAGCTCTGGGTGACGCAGCACAGCCGTTCCCATCCCTATTTATAGCCCAGCTGCCATCTGGAGCAATGCTCAGCAAGGGGCTTAGCAGGAGGCCATGGATCCCCCAACAGCTCTGGGATACCCCAGCAGCACTGAGGGATGAACACTCCCTTCTCCCTCCCACAGCACCCACCAGGCTGCCACCCTTGGAGCCCGGGAGCTTACACCCCACGGGTCAGAACTGCCCTGCTGTTCCCTGCAGGAAAGCTCAGCAAAAATCATTGTTCCTGCTTCCTGGGGCTGCCAGGCTTGAGGGAAGGGTCCCTGCCTGGTTTCTGGGTGACTGAGAGCCACAGCAAGGGGTTATTGCTGAGGGTGTGTAGCCATCAGTGAAAAACATCATGGGCTGGAAGTTGTGTCTTGATGCTAAAGGACTGAGGTCAGCTGGCCTGGGGCCACAGCTGAGCGTCACAGAGCTGCAAATCCTCTGGCTGAGGAGAGAATGCTCTGTGCAGAGGGAAAACATTTTATATATATATATTATATACTTAATATATAATTCCTGCAGATGTTTCTCTGCAGTCTGCTGGAGAAAAACCCTCTCTGTCCCCACTGCAGGGGACACAGCCAGCCAGGGATCTCGGTGGCATCAGCATCCACATCCTCCCCAGCAGGGAGAGGAGGGGCAAAGCAGGAGCCCCCAGGGAGGGAGACTGCAGGTCCCAGCCCCAAGCACGATGCTGGCAGGAAAGGCTTTGGCAGAGTGAATGGCTCAGGAGGCAGGGAGAGAAAACAAATGGAAACGCCAGCAAAGCTGCTTCTGCAGCCATTTTCAGAGCACAGCAGCTTTTTAAAGCAAGCAAATCCCCCTTTCTGTGCAAACACTTCTCCATAAATAACAAAAACCCAACCCAAACAGGAGAAGGATGCAGAAAACAAGAGTATGGAACATCTCTCTCATGCTGTTTCCATGGTGGTAAGTGCCAGAGGCATCTCTTGGGAGGGGATGCTCCTGGCTGTGGGTACCAGATACACAGAGGATGCTCAGAGCAGGAAGGTGAAAGGGGGAGACATAATAGATGGGAGGAAAACGAGGTGTATGTTTGAAAGAGCTGTCTGCAGCCAGCAAGGGCTCTCTGGTACAGTTCTGCTAGTGCCACCACCCCCAGCATCCCTTTATCCTTTAAAAGATGCCACCACTGAGACAAACCTGTGCTGGTTGAAACATGTCCTGGCTCCCCCCATCCATCACCCTCCATCCATCACCCTCTGCAAACCTTTTCCAGCTTTTGGGGGAAGCAGCTGCCAATTTACCTGCGTTTTCCTCCTCTTCCTCACAGCTCTCCCGGATTTTCTTTTGGCACACGTAGGCCAGGACAATGAGCAGCCCCACGACGCAGATGGCAAGTCCCACGGTCACCCAGAGAGCTGCGGCAGGGAAGGTGAGGTGCTGGCCTTGCAGGGGGGAAGAGAAGTACCACCTTGGTGAGCACTGCTGCCCAAGCAGGGGGATGTCTGCCTGACAGCCAGAATCCGTGGTGGCAGGGGCATGGCACCATGCAGGGAGTTGGTGGCACAAGGTGGCGCTTTGGAAGTCAAACCATCTAATTATGGCTTCCCTGGACCTGGCCAAGGAAGCGGCAGGTTGAGTCACTCCCTAAAAGACTTTATTAACCTTTTAATAATTGCACAAATAAATTCAACTGCAGGCTGACCCTTCCCTTGCTAGGAAGCTCAAAACAAGCATCAGATGATGCTGCATCTGCTCCCTTTCCCCTCTCATCTCATGCCACAGGGGTGAGAAGGATAGCGACACCTTCCCCAAGATCTGAAATCATAGAATAGCCTGAGTTGGAAGGGACCTTAAAGATCATCCAGTTCCACCCCCTGCCATGGGCAGGGACCCCTTC